TTGGCGAATGGTCAGTAGCACTGTAACAATAAGGCATGAGGGTAGATGTGCCTAAGGTTCCTGGCTTCTTATATTACTTCACACCAGCAACAGCAACTGAGCTTATGAAGCGACCTAATATAATAGAGCAAACCGTGGAGAGAGAAATGCGAGGCAAAAGGTATATTAGTGACTAAATCATTGGAGCTTCACCCGTGATATGGAAAACACTAGTGAAATACATATTTTACGACTACTACAGGCCGCGCAAATCGCGTTTTTCACCAAGTTTTACGCCACTTCACGTAAACCGGGTGAAACTCCATTATAATATCACAGAATGTATACCGAAGATAATAATGATTGTTGGTAAATGTAATGGAGTTTCACCAACCTAGTGATATGAAAAACATATTTCATGGCTACTGCGTAGTGGTGAATATCGCGTCGTATTTCACGGAGTATTACACCAGTTCACGTAAAACGGGTCGTGAAACTCCAATATAAAATATCAGAATATAAGTTGATATTTTTTCGGTATGTCTTAATGCCCCTTGAAGTGTATCATGATCTGATCGACTGTCAGATCATTGGAAATTGTGTTCGTGATAAATCTCATTTAGTATTCGGATATATGTTCGCCGCTTTCCTCAACTGGGTTGAGGAGTTCTCTCATTAAGTATAGGAGTTTACATATGAATTCGGGTAGAAATGTACAGAAACCACGAATAAATTTTCTTTGAATTTTCATACTATCATCAACACATGTAGTTGACCATGTGAATATCCTGCTTTCCCCCGACATCATCATCATCATCATCATCATCATGTAGATTGCGATTCTTACGTATATTCCGTTCCCTGCGGAATAGAGTTGTTCTCGATGAAGCCCGTGATGTGATTGTGGCCAATGAGGAAGACAACACAAGCTCGGCGTGCACTAAGCGTGATAGCCTATTTCAGTTGACTCCAGCAGCAGCAGCAGCAGCAGCTCCGAGTCTCGATGATGAGTGAGTGAGAATTACTCAGTGTTGGAGGAATATATGTTCGCGTTCCTCAGCTGAGCTCGGATGACGTTTACACACGAATTCGGGTAGAAGTGTGCAGAAACCAATAACAATTTCCGCAGAATTTTACTAATTGTCACCAACACGCGTAGTTGACCATGTGCATAGCTTCCCTACACGGCTTGGTTCGTATACTGGAGTTTGACAACCCGTTTTACGTGAAGTGGCCTAATACTCTGTGAAAAACGCGATATTCGCGGTGATATGCAGTAGTCGTGAAATATATTTTTCACTAGTGTTTTTCATATCACTAGAGTGGTGAAACTCCAATGATTCATTATGGATTCCATTTCAGATTCGATGCGGTTTCAGAGCGCCGATCAGCAGTGGACAGAATGACGAACAGAATGAGAAGGTCAACGCGAATGTCGCGCCGTTTGGTAAGGAGTAACACACCGTTCAAACTGTTTGAGTATGTGATGAGAATATTGGAATGTGTGCAGCAGTGTTGGAGTAGGAATATATGTTTGCCGCCGCTTCTCTCAGCTCAGCTCGGGAGTTTCTTCGTTAATCATGGTGGTGTATATACGAATCAATGAGAATTTCACAAAATTTCACATGTAGTTTACCATGTGCATGTTACTCCACACTAGTACACATGACGCAGAAAATGGTGTTAATAGTAATAGATTCATTCTATGATGGTTGCTTCTTATCACTTGAATAACTGATGGTAAACCTCAGCTCCATCGGGGGTAGAAGGTAAGCTAGCTCAGGACGACACAACACGCCCAACACTATCTAGCGTGCTTTAACATATGAGGAATACCACGCTAAGAGGGGGGGGGGTTGGATCTCAACTCTAGCTCTTGTTATATGTTGATGACCATCTAAACACACAGTTGTTGGCCATGTGCGAAATGAACGCTGAGTAATACGCGTAAACGGCAGTGTACGTAAATACGTGCACATAAGAACTTCAGGGGCTTGGCTATGACATACCTAGTGATATGAAAAAATAGTAGTGAAAAACATATTTCCCGACCACGCCATATCGCGGTTTTCACAGAGTATTGCGCCACTTCGCGTAAAACGCGTGGTGAAACTCCTTCATTCGTATCCCAACCATTCTACGTGCTAAGAAGGAACGTTGGATCTCAACTTTAGCCCTACTAATCAACACAGCACGGAAAACGGCTGATGCCTTTTCTTGAAAGAGTTCATGTAACTCGTATTGCTGGTTTCGATTCCATCTCAGCACGTTCCAGGAGTATCAGAACTTGTTTTCAAACTATACGACATTGATCGTAATGGTAAACTCGAGAAAGATGAGTTAAGACGCGCTATAGTAGCGCAAGGGACGAACGTTGGCGATGCAGAAGTAGGTTGCCACCAGTGTTGGAGAAATATACTTTCGCTTCCCTCACCTGAGCTCGGGAGTTTTATATACTAATTCTAGGTGTTATCACATAAATTTGGGGAGAAATGTACAGAAACCAACGAAGATTTCTCCATAATTACCTCGGAATTTTCATGTTGTCACCAACACATGTAGTTGACCATGTGCATATTCTCTCACACTGGTTGCCATCATTCGCCATCCGGAAAGTTTTCCTCACGTTATCGTAGTTTCTTTCTCTTGTTATATAACTGTGTTTATCAGTTTTGGAATATATGTTTGAGTTCGGTTTCCTCATTTTTTATAGAAGTTTATATACGAATTCGAGTGGAAGTTTCCATGAAATTTGAAAATATCACTAATGCACGGTGTTGATCATACGCACTCAGGTGGTCGTGACTGACTGGGTTGATATATTCGACGCTCACGGTGACGGGTGTTTGAATTTGAGGGAATTTAAGAATTTGATGGTAAGGCTTTATCACGAGTTATTAATTCAACTAGTTGTGTTGAGGATCGTTGCTCTTCGAATGCCATATAAGAGGACTTGTAGGAAGAACTGAACAATCTATATAATCAAAAGTAGAGCTTCCTGATGCGAGGCTAAGATATACGCTAAGGCAAGGAGCCAGAGAAGAGGAGACAACTCATACAGAAACGACACAATACTTGATCGTTAATAATCGTCATCTATTAAAAACATAATTTTTCACGTTTACCTTGTGGGAATTTGATGACCAAATTCTTCCTGGTGAAAGAATTATAAAGTTTTCTGCAATTTTCTTGATGAAAAGCACGATACTTATCAACTCAGTCGAGTATGTGATAGCTCAGCAGTATATCTAAGCGTGGCCCACTACTTAGCGTAAATTCCCGAATATACCTAGAGAAAACGATGCACTCCATAATATATATGTATCGTGTGCGAAGATATATACAAATTTCACATTCCTGAAAAGGAAAAAGAGGGAAAAGTATATACGTATACATATGTAACTTTGACTATTAGAGTTATTCCGTTGTACGACAATGCTCTCAGTCGTGGTGAGTTCTGAGCTTACTTTTTTTCTTCATTTTGGTGGCAAATCTCGAAAAAAAATAATGGTTTGACGGGATATTCATACACACTCTGAATAGTTAGTGAGCTGATACCATGTGAGGGAAAATATGCACATGGTCAACCACATGTGTTGGTGACGATAGGGAAATTCTTGGAGGAAACTTATTATTGAGTTCTGTACACTTCTACCCTAAGTGTTGTAAGTGCGGAAACTCCCGAGCTCAGTTGAGGAAAGCGGGTGCATATTCTTTCAACACTGGTTGATATATGGCTCTAGTAAACTGCACCGCGCTGCCTTCAATTTGATCAGTAGGTAGTACTCGAGTATCTGGAGTCGTCCTTTGATGCTCCAGCATGCCGTCAGTGGTTGGCAAGGGTGTTCAGAACTACCCCTGAGGAAGAGGTCACTTCCGAGATGTTTAGAGAAGGAATATTTGAACAATTAGCAATCTCCTTGCGAGAATCTGAGGTGGGAAAAATATGTGTTTTGGTGACAATATGGAAATTTCTGAAAAAAATATGCTTTGTTCCTCTACTGCAGAAACCGACAAAAAATGAAGTTCCATCTTCATAATGTGGTGAGAAACTCCTGAGCTCAACTGAAGAAACCAAACAAATATTCCTCCAACACTGACGCTGCTATCGTGGTAGATCGCCATGTGTCATACATTTCCTCTGGAATTCTCAGGTGACTGAATTTCTCCGATCTGTTATCACCGCGGAGCGCTGTAGGGTAAACGACTGTAACGAGCCCCCAAAGGTAGATGCTGAGATTAGACAAATCAACAAGTGTCGTCGTTGTTAACTTACGAATAATACGGTAATCATGTGAAGGTGACGATATGGAGATTCTGAGGAAATTTTGGGAAATTCTTATTGGTTTCTGTATACTTCTACTCCCATTTGTATGGAAACTTAACGAGGAAACTCTCGAGCTCAGCTGAGGGAAGCGAGTATATATTCCTCCAACACTATTCAGGTGTCGCTATCAGCACTGTCTTGGTGGATAGAACGGTATTCTGGCGACTTGACAACGGATAGTATTCTGGCTAAGAATAACAGTAGGGACAATCTAGGAGGATCGATGGGGAGGTGGCGAAGGAATATTCATGCACGATATCAAACTGTTTGTACGCGATTGTTCAATTGAATCACGCCGTGCGCAACATGATGTCTGTGATTTCTGCCTTATTTACGATGTCTGTTGTGTTGCTAGTCGGAACTTCTGAGTCGCGTATTCGCCTTGCGCGGTACGTTCTGTGGGTGACATCCCATCTTGTTGAGAATACCTAATATCACTCACGATTTCGTCTATTAGAAATATTAGAATAATAGATGGAGACAGTAACAGAAGCACACAGCATAGTTCTTAGACATCAGATAATGGATTAGCATACCATAAGGTCAATGGTGTAGGCCATACGATAAGAAGAGCTAGTGGGCAGCTACTGCCCTTATTGTAAATACTGAGGAATTTGGTATAAATTACCGAAATGAGTTCTCCTGGTACTGGGAGGTGGTATGATATGTTACATATCATATGTATTGTCAGAAAGATGTACAGTGTGAAAGTAAGGGGAGGAATTGATACTACTGGGCCATCAAGAGAAAGACGGAACGATTATCTGCGAGTTCGATTCTGGGCACGGGTACTTTTCGAGCTTTTCTCCTCCCACGATCTCACATATTTGCAGCAATGTTATGTCTTGTTGGTTTCAACAACATCTTAATGGCACCGCGGTACCCTCCTAGTGGCGATAGGACATAACATTACGTTGATTGAATCCGATGTTGTTTATACCTTCTTAAAGGAGTCTCGGGTGAGTTTTTAAAAGTAACCAGAAAGCTGCACGTTTTCCTTGATTACATCCTTTTTTTGGTCCCATCAAGTCGTCAGTCAGCGATGCACAACTCGAGCACCAATTGAGTTCAATTATGAGAGGTTCACAGCAGACACCGCCTGGTCATGTGAACGCCCCCGAGTCGACATGACCACCCAAATCTGATGAGTCACTGATGCTGAGAGTCTCGGAATTAAGCAGTGCATTCAGCATGTTACTAGAACACTAATGTTACGTTCATCAAAGTGTTAGCAACTCGGTAACCGATATCAGCTTCTGCGGATAATCTCGTGCGAGTCGCTTTTCATAGAAGGGTGGGAAGGTGGCATCGGCCAGTGAATGCTATCATAGCACGACCCTGCATTGGCTGTCCCTGACAGTCTTGTGAACATCTCCTCACTGCTCTCAGCAATGGCTCGAAGTTGAGAGCTTAATTGCACAGGTTAGAGTCGATAGAATGGTGAAGGCACATGTTCGAGTTCGAAGCCGCTGTTCAGTCTTGAGGAGACTCGCGAGAAAGCTTATATTCTTAATTGCCGCATTGTACTTCGCTGTTCATGACATTCCTCTTTCCCAACAGCTTATTCTACAAGTCCCCTCTATTTTACAAGAATCGATATCTCCCGTCATCTATCTAGAGTATATCGCCATCCAATGTAATCGTTTGCAGATTCACTTTACTACACTAGGGGACGGTAGGGAGGTGAATAAACCTATTGCTGATCGTAAGTAATCGTCATTCACTAGTCGTCACTAGCCCGAGGGCGAGACTAAACGCCGATACTATTCGTATCATACGATCGTTGTGAGTTGATATGATGGTAATGTTTCGTTTGCTCATCTCCTCACTATTCTCAACGAAAAGCCAATAGCTGCATGGAAATGCATTCAATAGTAGAAACAGTTGAAGTCTATGCGATTCACAAGATGCTTTAATTCAGTTTTCGTATCCATGGCGCCTGCACAGAACTTCTGCAAATTGCCGAGGAACTCTTCTCGTCTTTCCATCACGGCACGTTTAAACTCAGCAGCTGTGGCCTCGTCCATGAGTGACATTCTAATAACAAAGACACTCGAAATTTCAAGCACTCAGTAAATTCAACCATAAAAGTCTGTGTATTGCTAATAACAACCAGGGATCCACGTAGCTTTGCTAGATAACACAGAGGTTGATAACAATGGGGAAAATGATGTTCCTAATGTGGTGACATTCACACGGGAAACCAATCGAAGAATGTGTTCCTAGGCATGTGAAAAATTGAAAAAAAGGTTTTCCCAGGAAAATTATAAGTTGAATAATTTCCCGCTGCTCACTCATTCCCATCAGCTTCGTGACTAACAACAGCACCCGAGAGATCGCCATATATTCGTTCTTGTAGCGTCGTGAATCTGCTATTAACAATGAAGCCGCGAATACGTGACCTCAACCGTACTGGTATATGCCATTGAGTAATTCGTTCAAGACGTCGAACACTTTCATTTGCTTCCTTCCTACTGGCGTATCGCCGTGATTCAAAAAGTGACCGCCTGTTAGTCGCGTCAGATATTCTGAATAGCAAAGACGATTTCCGTCACGCGCCACAAAATTAATACTCCATCACACCTTCATGCAGTCGGAGGACCCTATCAAGATCAGCTTCTTGCTGACCAGCAAGAGACTCCAACGAGTCCCGCAGTTTCTGCCAGGCCGTATCGATGACGTTGAATCTGAGCTTGCTCACTGCCCCTCATAATGCACATCGATCAACTCACGCGAAGAATGATCGGAGGTGCTCAACCAGGTGCCACATCTCGTGCCGTAATGCGTTACAGATGTTCAGCAGATGAACAACAACACCAACACTGTCGGTCGATAGCGATGATGACGGTTGACCTGTGAGGGAAAATATGCACATGTCAGTAAACCATGCATATTGAAGACACTATGGAAAATCCCGGAAATTTTTTTGGGAAATTTCGTTACACTTCTACACTCACTCGTCAATTCTCACACTTTGTATTGGAAGAAACAATGACGTAGTACACTTATGAAAAGACATATATTTTTATGACACTTTTCAACTTGATAGCATTGCACAATACTGGTGAAAAAGTAAAAACAATTCACCTTCGCTCCGCCTCCTCCTCTGCTTTCCTCTACTAACGACGGCCTGCAGTACCGTACGATGAGCTATCATTTGCTGGCTCCAAGCTGATGATAACTGCCTCTCCGCACGATGCAATCTGAAATGCACTAGTGTGAGTAACACGACCACTTGATGTTATACTATTACACTGGTATTATAAGAAATATTGTAAGAGTTTCATCCGTTTTACGTGAAACTCGGTGAAAACGCGACGATTAAGCATGCTTTCCACTAGTGTTTTTCATATAACTAGGGTGAATTTCCGGTATCATGGCGGACCGAGCGAAGCGAGCGGAGCATATACCGCAAGAACAACAGGCACTTTCGCGTTGTGCGTGCGTGCAGAATTATTCTGGCTTAACTACGGAGCGTAGGAAGCTACCAGATAGATCAACCGACTCCTCTATATGCAGAGGCTTTGGAAATCTGGTTCATGCGAACAGCTCGAAGAGATATGCACGAAAAACTTTAATGATGGAGAAATGTCCTATTCGGGGATCGAACCGGGGACCTATGTAGAATTCATTGATTGAGTCCATGGACGTGGACTCAATGAGCTCCGCCCCTTCGTCACGAAGGCCTAGTGATAACGCAAGCGTGGGAAAATATGCGCATCGACAACTTCATGTGTTGGCAACAACATGAAAAAGTTGGATAAAATTTTGGGAAATCCTTATTAGTTTCTGTGCATTTATACCCTACTTCGTATAAAAACTCCAATACTTAGTGAAAACCCCCTAAGCTCAGCCGAGGAGAGCGGGAAACATATATTCCTCCAAAATTGGACAACCATAATCACCATTCACCCACCTCCAAGAAATGCTGAATAATTTCCTATACCTCTCCATCGCCTCTTCGTGTAGTATCACCGACACCGGCTGAGTCGCGATGTAGTCCAACGAGAATACTTCCCAGCCTGATAACAACAGCGACCACTACTTCACCACCCAATGCTGGGAAAAAATATGCACATCGCAAACTACATGTGAAAAATTTTGAGGAGATTATTGTTGGTTTCCGAACACTTCTACTCAAATTCCATAGCTAGTAAGGGAAAAACTGCTCAACTCAGCTGAGGAAAGCACACGTATATTCCTCCAACACTGTTTTCACCAGTGTCACTGAGCCCTGATTTTTCAAGGCGCGCCGTAAGTCTATTGTCAAACTCCTCCTCATCTTGCTGGTCGTAATTGCCACTTGCACTGCCCAACCTTTGTAGACGCAACGCGTGGTCTGTGAGGTCCCGGAACGTATGGACTCTCAGTACTGCCAGAAAAAACAACAATCAGAAAATTCCAAAAAGTTTAACAAATTGAAACCTTGTGCGCGTGTGGACAGTTGTTCGCTCATCAAGTCGAGTAGGTGGCCCACGAAGTCGCCTTGCGAGAGTAGTAAATATCTGGAATAATTTTGTGGCGCGTGACGAAAAATCCAAAATTTTCCTCTACTTTTTCACCGCCAGTAAATGATCCTGCAAGCGATACTTATTCATCATCAAATTAAACACCAGAGAGGTTTCCCGCCGATAAGCCTTCTGAACCTATAAACATGAAATCGATTACCAGGGCGCGCGCTTTTTACACACCATGTTAGTAAGGCTATCAGGGTCAGTTTCTTCCTGTTGTATCTGCTGCTGTTGGTCACTCAGCCAATCGCCTTCACTACAGCATTGGCGTACAAAGTTGATCGATTTACCCGTAACAAATATCTAAATTTGAACAGCTCTAGCGGAGCGATGCAAATTTTCATCTCAGTATTTATGACAGTGAGAAAATTCTGATACAATTTTGCGAAATTTCATAATGATGGAGCTTCACGACCCGTTTTACGCGAAGTGGCGTGATACTCTGCGAAAAACGCGATATTCGCGGTGATATGCAGTAGTCGTGAGATATTTTTCCACTAGTGTTTTTCATATCACTAGGGTGAAACTCCAATGTACTCAGCTGGGGAAAGCAAACAGATATTTCTCCAACACTGCAGCCCAGTATAGGGAAATTATGCACATGCTCAACTACATGTGTTGGTGACAATATGAAAATTCTGGGAGGAAATTTCGGGAAATTTCCACTGGTTTCTGTATATTTCTACAACCAAAACTCGTACAATTCGCGAGGAATCTCCTCAGCTCAGCCGAGGAATGCAAACGCTGCTCACCTTTAACGCCACTTCCTCACTGATGAGGGCCGGCACTTTATCGAAGTCTATCGTAAATGCACTTGTCCAAATATCAGACGAGTTGTTCTTGTTATTGTTAGAGGCCTGCCTGGCGCCCTGTATAAAAAAGTCCTCTTCGTTTCCCTTCATAATGCGACCTTCAGTCTGAAAAGCAGCACACAGTAGTGTGAGAAATGACACGAATAATACAAAGTTAATAATACACTATCATAAAATCCAACATTGGAGTTTCACCACCATAGTGATATGAAGAACATATTTTACGACTACTGCATATCACCGCGAATAATATCGCGTTTTTCACCGAGTTTTACGCCACTTCACGTAAAACGGGTCGTGAAACTTCATTAAATTAAAACGATTCTACCTACCCGATGAAGCCTAGTGAAAAACTTATTTCAAAATTGCTTTCACACAAACCAATTGTATTATCGGTCGGAAAAAAACATATTCACATGGACTATTACGCCACTTCACGTTAACGGGTAAGTAAGATAAACACTTATAGAGTTGAAAAAAAATCAATAATTTCCGAGCTGATTTCCACGTCAATATCAAAGCAATTCAACCTACCAGCCAAAGGCGTATAGTCGCCACCAACGGTTGAAGCGTTTGGGAGACGATGTCGTCGAGAACACTACGTAGAGATGTACACCTTCTTGCACACACTGAAAAGGAATGTGCATACAAAAATTGGAGTCTCACCACCTTAGTGATATGAAAAACACTAGTGAAAAAATATTCCACGACTACTGCATATCACCGTGAATAATATCGCCTTTTTCACATAGCATTACGCCACTTCACGTAAAACGGGTTATGAAACTCCAGTGAGTCTGTTAAACCATCACAATATTCACGATGATATGCAATAGTCGTGAAATATGTTTTTCATATTACTAGGGTTAAACTCCAATGTTGAATCCCAACCCATCAAAAGTTGATATGCGAATTTTCAAACTTCAAAAATTCTCCCAAAAAAACAAGTTCCATATGAAACTCCATACGAACTGCATGATCAAATTACCGTTGGTCATTTCGGCGGTAAATTACAACATATACATAATCGATCACCAGGGCGCGCGCTATTCGCCTCACCTCCATTAGCAGGACGAGAGTCACGAAGAGTTATGATGTCCGAAATCATCGCTCCGCCGTTGTTTTCCGACAAACACACTTGCGTCAACCTAACAATACGAACCAGAAGTGTTGCTGGGCGTAAAATACAACTCGTAAGAGACTTCTGATAATCAAAGTTACGCACGCGCCATCAGAGTTAACTTTTTCTACAGACCGATTTCCAAGCGAAAATTTCGAATATAAGCCCCTCTTGTATAGCTATATTCCATGAAACCTGTCCTCAGTCGATTTTCGGAAGAAAAAAATTTTATGGCACTTTTTTGCACCTGTCCGACCCCGATATTAAACCTGCGCCCTTCGAGAGTAATTTAATCCACAACACAACAACTGGGTAATTCACGTACCGTACATATTGCAATTCTCCTTCTGCAGTAACAGCTTTCCCAATCAGCATTATATTTTCCGAAGAGGTACATTTTACAACCCCTACAGGTGATGAGATTCAACTATCGTCATTGACCGTGCGGGAATATATGTTTGCTTTCCTCACCAATTATAGGCTTTCTATGTGAACTCAGGTAGAAGTGTACAAAAACCAATAACAATTTTTCATATTGTCACATATTGTCAGCATATTTTCCGCCACTGCGATGAGCAACGTCCAAAAAAATGCAAAAATATACAACTACATGTGTTGATGATAATGTGAAAATTGCGTGAAATTTTTTGGAAATTCTCATTGGTTTCTGCTAAATTTTCCCCCAAATTCACATAAAAACTCCCAAAATTTATGAGGAAACTGCCAAGCTCAGCCGAGGAAACCCAACATTGTCGTCACCTCTCCAGAGCTGCTAGCTGTCGGCCAGGCTGATACACCCAAGCTTGTAAATGCTGCAGTGTCCACTCTTGCCCGCTCACACGAGACTCCAACGTTACTGTTAATCTACAAAATCGTCATTAAAAAAACTTCGCTCCGCCCCCGAGTTTTTCCCAATACGGGAATAAATGCATATGTCGGTGAAAATATGATAATTTCGAGCAATTTTTGGGGAAATTTTTGTACCCTAATTCGGATTTGTATTCCCATAATCAGCTTTGGAAACTCTTCTGAGCTCAGCTGAGAAAAGCGGCGAACATATGTATTCCTACCCCAACACTGCTGTTTTGCTCACCTATAGTATTCCATCAACCTCTCCCTTATCTGTGTTGCGAAGGCGGCCGCTGTGGGGGACGAATGTGCATGCGTGCAGATCGATTCATCGTCATCAAGTAGACGATTACATCGCTCAAGTAGTCGTCTGAAAGTGAAATTTCACCCGAAAAAATGGTGAAAATTATATTTCACGACTACTGCTTATCATCGCGACTTCACCCCGCCACTTCGCGTAAAACGCGTAAAACTCCAACAACCCTCTTCACCTGTATACTCCTCCAACGTGGCATACATCTTGACAAGCCGATCCATGCCGAGCCGAAAGCTCTATGTCTCGACCGTTACTGCTGCCGCTAAATATATAACGCTCTGTGCGGGGATTGAACCTGCGCGAGTTGAGATTGCCCGTTTTACGTGAAGTGGCGTAATACTCAGCGAAAAACGCGATATTCGCGGTGATATGCAGTAGTCGTGAACTATATTTTTCACTATTGTTTTTCATATCACCAGGATGAAACTCCACTGTGAATTTAGGTTGTATGAGTGTAATTCTGAGCGTGCCACCATAGAGAGCTTTTCTATTGGACTTTCACCACCCTAGTGATATGAAAAACACTAGTGAAAATAATATTTCACGACTACTACATGTCACCGGGAATATCGCGTTTTTCACCGAGTTTTACGCCACTCCTTGTAAAACGGGTCGTGAAACTCCATTGAATTTGTTGGAGACATTTCATTAGAAAACGATCATATAAAAAGACGTTGACCCAGAAACTAATGCGAAAAAAAGAAATCGCAAAATTCTCGAATTGTTTTTTCAATGTAAAATCGATAATGTAAAATCCATTTTTTCATTCGTAATATTAAATTACTGTAAAACTATGAAAATTGTAATTTTCGTTCATGTAAAACAGAAAAAATTGTAATTCTTTTTCATGTAAAATTGAAAAAATTGTATTTTTTTCCTTGTAAAGTTGAAAAAATTGTAATTTTTTTCATGTAAAACTGAAAAAATTGTATTTTTTTTTCATGTAAAACTTTAAAAATTGTATTTTTTCCATGTAAAACTGGAAAAATTGCCTTTTTTTTCCATGTAAAACTGGAAAAATTGTCATTTTTTGTAAAACGGAAAAAATTGTAATTTTTTCCTGTAAAACTGAAAATAAATGTTTTTTTTGTGAAACCGAAAAAGTTGTGAATTTTTTTAATGTAAGATTAAAATTGTATTTGTTAATGTGAAACTCGTTATTGCTACTAGTTTCATTAGAAATATTAAACTACCGTAAAATTTCGAAATTTATCATTAATTTTCATCACCAACACCAACCTGAAAATACTGCCGTCTACGCCTTGAAGAACGAATACTAAGTCTCGTACGAGCTCCGACTCGGTCGCCCCTGATATCACATTCATTTATAAAATCAGCTACCCCAGCAACATCACCCTTGATTTCAACAACCGATATAACTTCATTCGAAGTGTTGCTGTTGGAAGGTCCTCGAGCCGCTACGGAGCCACTGAGCATCTTTACCGCTGCTCCCTCATTGTTGGGTGTAGACTGCGTGCACGCATGCGCAAGGGCGTCCTGAGAAAATTGCAAATCGTATACTGGAAAACTTTGCACTGCGGTGCCGTTTTAACGTTGAATGCTACGACGATAGTAAGCTTTAATGGGAAATCTTAAAGTTGCATTAAGTGATTACTAATGGGAGAATTCAAGTGCAATGATTTTCAACAACAACAACAATCTGGTCGTTGTTTTGGAAAGAAGTTATGCAGTGGCAATATGTCCATGAGTTTACTTCGTCGTTGCGATAGATAAGACGTATGCCTTTCGCGAAGATACCCATGGTAGAATGAAGTAAACACCGACGCGGGTCTTAAAAAGCTATTCATATTTCATATGAATAGGATTAAGGTCTATTGTATAGTCTTGCTGTATATACTTATAAGGCTCAAAGTTGGCATCAGACGACAACAACAACATATACAACAACATATACAGCAACAACAACAACAACAACAACATATACAACAACATGTACAACAACGACAACAACAACAACGACAACAGCAACAACAACAACAACATATACAACAACATCATCATCAACAACAACAACGGGTTACCATATTCCCACACAGGTTCTCCTTATCAGCCGTCCCCGTCATCAAAGCCAGGAACCGCAGAATGGCCGGTCTTTCTTTCAGCACCGAGCCGTTTGTCTGTAGTTGCCTTACTAGCGTTTGGCACTGCAGTGAAGGGGGTAGGGACTTGCCGCCGGTACTGTTCACTTCCCCTGAGTGAAAGAGACCTCATATCCATGATCAATTTTTGTGAAGTGAAGTCAACCTACCGACACGCGTGTGCTCCCTACGTTCCAGCGTCCTGATGAGGCTCGTCAGCACCGAATTCTCAGGGATCTCAGCGATGCCGAAATCCACTTGTTTACATGCTAGAGGCGATAAGGCCCTGAAATTCAGAAGCACTGAAGGGAGCGAGAGTATTGCTGTTAATAACTCACCAATGGAATCTCTCGTTTACTCGGGCATTCCCTAGTTCATCAGGAATGCCCATGATATCGGCTACCAACATGCGGAGTATTGACGACACGTTTGAATTGTCGATGGTCATATGGTAGAGTAATGTTGAATACAGAGCGGCGGCCTGGCAAACCAAAGCACGGGGTGTTGATCAGATAGAAGACAGATTTGATCCCGATCAATCTCTATCTGAATAAAACTGCCACGTCTGTCTTGAATTCAGAGCGATGGAGTATCCCCTTTCCCCTTAGTCATTGGAAGTTCCATTGACCGAAGGGAGAAGGGAATACTCTTTTCCAGTTTGGGACACCACATTCCCTTCGGTCTTCACAACATAGAACTCATTGTTACAACGAGTGAGCATAAAGCTACCGCAACGAATGCACTTGATGCCGAATTGCATGTCGTGTGGTGAACTACTCACGGAATCGCATAGGATCAATATTCATAGTTGCAAGGGGTGTGCAATAAACCATGAACGAGCAATATATGACAAAACCAACACACAGCCTTCTTAGCTTAGTTGCTAGAGCACCCGCTTAGTAAGCGGGAGGTCGTCGGTTCAACTCCGGCAGAAGGCTTATACATATTATACATATTTCATATATTTTGTATAAGTACAAGACATTAAAATTAATTCCTTTATTCAAGCAAATCCCTCTGAGTGATATTAACTACAACACCAATCATCACGCTTCCCATTCTATTAGAGAACTGAATGAACCAATTTTATTCGGACCATCACCGGTGGTGATGATAGCGGTGATCCACCGTTACCAATCTTCATCATCTTCCATCGCTGCGAGAAAGCACTATCACTCACATTAGCTCCCCGATTGAAAAAAGTCAGCGCCGAAATCAGAAACATACTGGTACCCCACGGCCAATGAACAACACAACCAAACACCGCAGATAACACTATGACTTCATCGGTTTTCAACGGACTCCTCCGACAGACAACTCGATTCGAATATAATATGATGAAGAGTTCAAATCTTGGGTCGATGAACCGAGGTAACTTATCAACACGTATTGATCGATAATGGTAACTTCCACCAATGAGAACACCCCAAGTGTATGTACGTCAATCACAGTTGACAGAGTCAATAACAATACAGATTTGAGATGTGCACCGACCTACACCACGATGATAATGACAGTGAAAATTCGCGGTATAATGGTGAAAAGGAAATAATAATAGTTCCTGATAACATAGCTACTGGAAACCTTCATCAATCAGTATAATCTTTTCACACACGGCTGCTGCCTTTACTCAGCAAGGCCTCGCTCAGCTTCCGAACTTGATCCTGCATCTCAAGACATTGTCTCATTAATAGAGCAACTTGTGCTTGCAGTTCGTACTGATTCGGGGGAGAGTCGCCACCAGCGACCGTGCTAGCCTCGTCGTGCGAGACCATAACACCACCCTCGTTCAGAGCAGCGAGCTTCCTCAACAAAGGGTCGCTCGCACGATGACGATACGATGTGAGCGACTTAGGCATGCGAGTAATCTCCTCGGTGTTGTTGTGGAGGAAGTGAACAGCTGGAGCTTGGTGTCCATAACGAGGTATGTTTGTGATAGGACCAGCACCACCCTGCATGAATTTTACAGTGAAAAAGGCATCCTCAGCAATAGTGATGAAAATATTAAGCACCACGTAGATAAACAGGGCCAGAAAAGAGTATAAAAATACCCTACTCCCCAGCACTGAGACATCCTTGAGGTTCGTAAACGTATCATGAATCTGATCTCCATTCAAGAGAGAGAATAGAGCAGTACTTGAGTCACCCAAGCTGACGAACCAATGGCTGTGGAAGCCGAACAGACATACTGCGCATACAACAAACGACAAGTAAACCGGGAAGACCCCGACTAAGAACTTGAAGATCTGTGGTATGCCATGTGCAAGTGTTGAATATAAAATATATAGAGAACGAAAATGTGCCAAATATCGCACTAGGCTGACCAAAGCAATGGCCGCACTCACGCCGAACAAATTGAGTCTCATATAAATGTCAGGCCGATCCACTAGGAATGCATAACCAACAGCGACCAACTGGATGATGTTACCAATGAGCGAAAACAGCAACCACAGATTCATCACAGTTAACTTATCTTGTACACTAGAGTCTTTCAAAAAGGTATGAATGACCTTAATACGATAACCCAAAGCTAAGACGTTCACTGCTGCGCTTGCAAGGGCACAGACTAGCATCGTCAACAACGCCCATATAGCCCAGGTGCTGAGATGCACACCAGAACAACTATAGACGTGATAGTGTAAACGCAACGATAGCTGACCATCGCCGTTCTCTGCATATGTCGGTAACAACGACCACTCTAAACACGAGTGGGAGCCCCTGTATTGCGTGTCACGGATCTTCATAGGTGTCACCATTGATGAGAACCGATCTCGTCCGAGGAGGGCAAACGTCGGGTCGTCCTCGAGAGTACTCAGCACTCTGTCAAGATGAGTAGAATTAGCCAGAGTAAACCGTACAAGATCTTTCGAGTCTTCAAACTTCACCACGAGCCTCAGAGCATCATCATTATCAACGGGGGACTCAATGAGCTCATACTGGTTCGTCGCACTCGCCGAGATTGTCGTTGAGGATTTAGCAATTCGTACTAGGGAATTCGCGAGGTCAACTTGCGAGTCAATAATTTTCTCCCTGTTGTGCATTCCACCGTTCTCCTGTGGACTGTCGCTACTAGCAACAAGAATGCCGTAGAAGTGTCGCAACGACTGCGACGCATGACGCACATTCACATCGATAAACTCGACCGCGACGATTAACGTAATCACTGCCAGCATCAGATTGATACCCATGGCAACTGGTCGTTTACCAAACCGTTTGTATTGCTCGAGAGGCGAGGAAAACAAACGGTCGATGACAGGAGGCTCGGCGGCCCTCCTCAATGATGTCATACGAGGCTCCACTGGGAATGGCATACTCCTGCCCAACAGGGGTTCTGATGAACGGGTCAAGCCAAACCTGTTGGCTGTCATCGTGGTAGGGAGGGGCATGGTAGAGTGGTGATAGTATGATGATGAGAATCAATTATAGAAACCTCCAAGCTGATGATGATGTAGCATAATTCGTTCGAGACGTTCACATGTGCTTCTACAGCGGGCGTCAATTTGATATGCAGATGAAAATAAGGCGCGTTATTTTCCGAGATTAATAATAACCGTTCTAAAACCATATAGTACGACCAATGTAAACATTGCTATGGACATGTGATGTAATAATAGTAACCTTTCGAGACTATGATAGCGACAAGTTGTTCACTATCATTAATCTCGGAATAGAAAAAACACACATTCTCCACATCTGCGTATCTAATTGGCACGCACTGTATTTTCGTGGCGCAATTTTCTAAATGCCGCTGAGCTCCTATACTGCATCATTGCCCTGACAAAACTACCTGACGAAGGGCTCCCATTGGGAAACACAAGCCAGGGAGACGGGGAACACTCGAGAGACTGTCATCCCGTCCCACACTGCGTTGGCAATGAGCGGGACCGTAAGAATCGCGTCACGACACGTTTGGGCATGCGTGCAAACCATTATAGCGCGATACTTGTTTGGCTGCGTTGAAGGATGCAAAGTGCAAGTACGAATCAACCGCGAACATTTCACGTGTTGGGGAAATCTGAATAACAAAGTGTTCAATCAGGCGATGAAATCGTACGGAGTCAAATTATCCCTATCCTAACGTTTATTCACAGTAGTGGGTTTAATAATAATCGTTCAATAGTTCCACGTGAAACTCACGAATATCTTTCGAGATCCCGAGGCCGAGACGAACCGCGTTATCAGCGATTCATTCCTTGCCAGTGTGGGAATATGTGTATTAATAACAACAAAGATAAAATTTTCTAAAAATTTTCTAAAAATTTTCTGAAATTTTTCTAAAATTTTCCTTAAATTTTTCATAATGTACTGAGGCAGCAACTCTTGAGCTCAGCTGAGATAACCAACCATAACTTCCGACACGCACCTACATCCGTTTTCAAGTCTCTGATACGTTTCTGTATTCTTCTATCGATTCTCCCAAGATGTGACACGAGAGTCCGCAATAGTTTATCAAAGCGTTTCGACGATGCCGTCGTGTCTAGCAGTATAACAATACTTGCACGCATGCACAACTGGGTTGACTCACGCTTTAAAGACTCAGTCTCAACCGTCGCGTTGAACGGAAATATCAATGAGAACTTCCCTGAAAGTAGCTAAGCTAATATTCACTAGGAATGTTAAAAATAACAGAATCACGAGAAACCAAACAGGAGGCATTCGTAACTATCGAAAAACCATGCGCAAAGCTATGGTCTATCAAGATCATGATGAAAAATGACGGAATTAATTCGTGGAAAACTCTAATAGAGAGTCTCTATAACAGGGATTCAATGGGAATGGGGGAGCGACGCAAGCAAACGAGCTCCGTACAGTGAATGGTGTGCACGCCCGAAAAGACAAAGCACCACGAAGCTCAGCCCCTCTATCTGTCTGAGTGATGCAATTCTTCTGGGGACCTAGAGTCCACCAGGCTTCGAGCACTCTAGATAGGGTTGGACACGTAGCCCTATCCGGATTCACGTCACGTGACTCGAGAAACTTATCACGAGGCGAGATCACGCACGGTTTACACCGAGAGACAGAGTTCATCGGAATACGAAACTCTGACTACGATCTCGCTAACTCGCGCCTTAAACACTGGGGAAGCGACGCAATCAAGCTCCGTACGAAACAAATAAACTTCGAGACGCCTTTCTCACGTGTTGAGCTTTATGTTATCTAACCCTACCGACTGGCAAGTCTACACATACGTGACCGGAACAGACAGAGCAAGTATTCAAGTGCATCACATAAATTTAAGATAGATTCAGTAGATCATTATTAAAGATTAGTAGTGGAGACGTCGGAATCTAGTATTGGACGCATATATGTTCGCTCTCCTCAGCTGAGCACAAGAATTTCCCCACTAATTATATGGATTCCGGTATAACTGTGCAAAAACCACTGAGAATTTGGCAAAATTTCCTCAGAATCTTCATGTATTTGTCACAAATACATGTGAAAATTTTCCCCCACAGAGACTGAATCATTCTAGGAAACAAACTAGAGCCGTGTATGTGTAGCCGTACGTGATACGTGTGCATTAGAGCGTTGTGAGTATTGCAACTTCTCAAGTTGTTACGCCTGTCCCATTTGCCCCTTTATTTTGAGCTTTGTGACAACGCTAAGGCCAGTAATCGAATTATTGCCTTGTTGCATAAGTATTGCTATAATCTGCTTTCCCCTCTAGTATGTCTGAGCAGCTGAGTTCTGAGTCCGCGGCAAATCATAACACTTCTCGAGTTGAAACAGCATCCATTAAAAGTTTATAGCTAACCTTAACCGCAATGGAGTCTATGCTAGCGTATTAGATGATCTAATACAAGACCCATATGGCTTCGAGATAACAGGTTCGCCCAGGGTTTGATAACAATGGGAAAAATGATGTTCCTAATGTGATTTTCATGGGAAACTGATTGAAGACTGTGTTCCTAGTATCTGTGTGGGAAATTCAAAACGAGTTCCCTCCAGGAACATTATAGGTTCCTGGGTTAGATTGACAATCATCAAACACACACATAGCGGCTCACCGACTGATCGTGGACAAGTGATACGTGGCTTCTCGCATTCTGAAGGATCCGATATAGGGAAAGCAGGGGCATGCACCTAACAGGTAGTTGTGCATGCGTGCAATTTCATACCATAACTTGGCGAATTCACATCAGGATGGTAGACAACGTCCACAAGGTCTTCAATCAGCGGCCTTTTCACAGCCTCATCAACAGAACAATCAACTTGGAGTGCTGGTGAGCAATTCACCTGAGCCACGTCACTGCGCCACGATTTTCCTCACATTCGTTTCCGACTTCTATTAGCCATGGGCGCATCGTTTCATCAACAACCACGTCGAAGCCGAAAAGTTCAAAGTAATTCTGCCGACCAGAATTGCAAGGCACCGTCGGGATCTATAATAACACAAATGCTACTAACCATTTAGTTTTGAGAGATAACATTCCCCAGGGTTTGATAACAATGGGAAAAATGATGTTCCTAATGTGATGGCATTTACACTTTGAGAAAACCAGTGTGGGAAAATGTGCACATGGTGGACCACATATGTTGGTGACAAGATGGAATTTCTGATGAAACTTTGCAAAATTCTCGTTGGTTTCTGTACATTTCTACCCTAGTTTGCATATGGACTCCTATATTGAGTGAGGAAACTCCTAGGGCCAGCTGAGGGAAGCGAACATATATTAAAACACTGATTGAAGAATGCGTTCCTAGCCTTGTGGAAAATGGTAAATGACTTCCTCCGACAAGCATTATAGTTGTTTGGATGATTTCCTGCTCCGACTTACCAAATTCACTAGTGTTGCATTCACAAGATTGATTATCTTGCTCCACATGAACTTATCATCCACTTTGTTACAACGGAAATGTGCTTCTAGTTGCTTGAACTCCCATTTACACCCCGGGCCTGTCAAACGCCGAGAATTCCAAAGCCATGCATCTACTCCCATAAAACTTCAATACTCGATCAATACTCTTGAGATTCTTCCAATTCCAGCATCAACAGTATATGACAACTACTTCATGTATTCTCATTATTAATGAGCCACGAATGCTAATCTCCGTCAGAAGTTCTGACTCAGAACCTCCTCAGGGAGTATCCCTATGTCAATTCGATGAGTGATGGAATGATAACGGCATACGAGAAGTCGATATACCATTAAGAAATTTCACCCGCGATGTGAAGAACACCAGTGAAAAGCACATTTCGCATGTCACTTCGTGAGCAGTGAATTTTCATACCACTCCTTTTTCCGAAGAGGTGATAATTATGGTATTCCTAATTTAAATCTAGTTAACACCGAGTGCGCCTCCGTTCATCATTCGACTTGTGTTCGGTGAATACGAACTTTAGTTCCCGAATACTTCATGAATTTCTTCACGAATTTGAACTGTCATCTGCGCATGTGATTGTACATATATACAACATGTCATTGTATGGCATCTTGTGATTCACTGAATCACGGTGATGCAATAACAACAGTTGCCGATTTCTACCAGCCCCTCAGGCTACCTATTTCGTATTTGTCAGTCGCAAGCGTTGGTGATAATTTATTTATCGAGCTGTTGGTGAGATGCGAGAACTTGTCCGATAATGTGGCAAGGTCATACCGGCTCGTTCCAAACCTGGAACATGGACCCTCCACGCATGTACATGTTCATATTATAATACAGCGGTTCAGTTTCTATAGCCGAGCCGTTGAATGATTGCTGTTCTCAACAATTGTGGAAAACATTTCCGGCGTTATCGCGAGTAAAAACGTTCGTGGCGTATCAATGGAGTCTCATGCGTTTTACGTGGAGTGGCGTAATACCCTGTGAAAAATGCGATATTCGCGGTGATATGCAGTAGTCGTGAGATATGTTTCTCACTAGTGTTTTCCATATCACTAGGGTGAAACTCCAATGGGAATACAGAGTAGGAACCGCCAAAAATGATCAGCTACGCACATCCCACGTTTGCGACGACAGTGCTGGATTTATAGATATCCCCTTTCCTCAGCTGAGGCCAGGAGTTTCCTCATTAATTTTACATACGAATTCGAATAGAACTGTACAGAAACCACTAAGAATTTCCCAAATTTTCCGCCAAATTTTCACAAAATCACCAACACTGCTACTATTGACTCACCTCACTAGACCATCACAGTAGATGTATACCTTCAGTGGGTGTACACTGACCACCAATACATACACTCGAAAGTCACACTTGAAACCTCCGATGAGTAGCGGCCTCTCGATGTACCTTGCGCACGCGTGCAGATTGTCACTCGACGACTCCTTCAACAATGCATGTCAATTGGATATCTACAATGCTAAGAATGAAATTATTTTTCGAGATTGATAATAATCGATCTGAAACTTCGCAGATACAATGGAGTTTCGCCCTAGTGATATGAAAAAAACACTAGTGAAAAACATATTCCGCTTTCACTTCACGAGAAAACGCATGTGAGCCGAGAATAACGCGTTAATCACGTGATGCGTGCTTCATGCGATATGTAAACTTCACTTTGAACATGTACAGTGATAGTAGTAACCGTTAGAAACTAAAGATTGAGCATGACCACTTCAATGAAGATCGAAGTACGACGGATGGCAATCATGTGATCCTGCGCACATAGAAAGCAGCGCAATCACTATTATCGCATACAGTGGAGTTTCACCTATTTTACGTGAAGTGGCGTAGTACTCAGCGAAAATTGCGATATTCGCGGTGATATGCAGTAGTCGTGGAATATGTCTCTCACTAGCGTTTTTCATATCACTAGGGTGAAACTCCAGTGCACGCATGCACGAAGTTATATTCAACTCTTCATCGCCTCTGCTGAATCTACAGTACAGTGTAGTGACGGATGACAATCCTCACCGTTGAATGATGAACTGACTGTCATAACGGAGTTCTTCGAGATTCCGCAATAGAAATATGTTCTTCCCTCGACAACTATCAGCCGGCTTGCAAATCCAAACCTGCTCATCAAAAAGCCATATAAGTTATTCCACGCTTCGCTCCGGCCGGTCAATCCAAAACTGATCTAATTCTAATCGAAATTTCATCCCATCACCGATGAGATATTAAGTGCTTACTTCCACTCACAACATGAGGAAGTCACCAAAGCTCCTTAAACGATGCACTACGTCGGTAATGGTCATACAACGCGCATGGGAGACCCGAAATCCGCTTCGCTCCGCCTTGTATTTGCGTGCCAGGAACGGGTTTTTCCCCATTATATACGAGGTTCACTCTAGCATATAATAGCACATCACTCAAGTGTTTCAAGTTCAAGAAAAAATTGAGGTTATTCCAAGTTGAAAATTTCCCAAATTTACCTCGAATTTTTCGAATATGCCCAAGAAAAAAATGTTCCATATACACATAGGAATTTATACTTAACACGCGATGACGGTTACTTCCTCCCCCTTACCCCTCGACTGTTTTCGTCTTGCTCCGAATATGCCCCTACGAACTTGACATACTCATTCGGGAGAATATACGTCTCCGGGACGAAACCATAGACCTGAATACGACCACTACTGCCAATTGTGAAGGTCTGTGATTTTGTGTTGATTGTTGTCTCTCACAGATATCCCTTCCCTTGTGGTAGATTCTCAGCGTATCCTCGCTGAATTGAACTGTAAATCGTGATGATAGCAATTAAGGTCTCTTTAGTATTAATATTAAAAAGACTTAAATTGCTATCATCACTGGTATGAAAAATGCATATATATGGGGTAAACTCTCACTCTATTTCACATATTTTCCGACTCCCCGACAGTGTGACGAATCGAATGGTATATACCATAAACCAGAAGACATTTGGACATTTCATCTTCCCCAGATTTTACCCGTGTATTAGGCTGACGTTGCATTCTGGTTTTCAATACCGATCCATTGGTGTTAGCGCAAAAATGATGGATGAAAAGTGGAGCAATAAATCAGATTGGAGGCCGTGGTTAGGGTCTCATTCATAGCGACGATCATGAGCATGCGAAACTCATGCAAGATATGTAGGCGCGATCGGAATAGCCAATGACTATTGCGATCGCATGACTATTAGTCATGTTACTCACAGAATACAGCACGCGAAATCTTAATAGTGCGTTGCGTGAAGTCACAGGCAAGTGGAGCTAAAATTTCCTATATAGCTTCTAAAACCACGGAGAACACGAAATGGACTTTTTAGATTATTGCATAATGTACATATATGTGCATCGCTTCGCTCATGCGAACGCCACCACACTAAATATCGAATAACAAGAAGTGACGAGGGGGAGAGCGAGTTCCATATCCATAAAACAAGACGTAGAATGTAGCACTAAGTTGGAGGGAAATATGATGATAATAAACTCAATGTAATACCCATCCATAGACTACCTCGATGACTTCATGTGCGGCAACGCAACTCGTGCGAAACTATATTTTTTCTCGAAAAAACAAAGTGCTCCTTGAGTGTTCATATTCTTAAAAATATGTTGTGTGCAGAACAAACTCACGATGTTGACAACGCTAACTCTTTTCACAGAAGACAACAGTCTACGTGGATTATACAAACCACGAATGGAAAACCTTTCAGCTGCATCACGAACCTTGTAATACCTTCCTACTTGTTCGCCGTAGGTTATCATCATCCTCCTCATAAGCCGACCAAGGGTGTCCTTTCTCGTTATACAACCCGACCTCGGGAAGTGATTCATTTTCTGGTGCCTTGAAACACCTCTTGTGTTGAGCACGCACCGAATGCCCAAACATTACGATTCAACTGTGGTGTATTCGGATGGCTTGAATCGGCCACTTTTCCAGTATAGATGCCAGTCTGCGGGAATGAGGTCCCTAAGGGTAAAGTGATGCAACATACACTACGCGGTAGACATGCAAAGGTTGATGAATTGAGGCAACCTAGATAGTAACTCCTCCTCCAACAACAACAACATATATAACAACAAAAAATACAACAACAACAACAACAATAACAATAACAACATATACAACAGCAACAACAACAACAACATGTACAACGAGAACATATACAACAACATATACCACAACAACATGTACAACGAGAACATATACAACAACAAAATATACAACAACAACAACAACATGTACAACGAGAACATATACAACAACAAAATATACAACAACAACAATACTCAAATCTGAAATGATTCCCCTCGTATCTCAACTACTCCTACCATCACCACCACGACGACGACGACGTGCCTCATTACTCTTCACGATGGGCACCCCTTTGCATACGCCCTGACGAGTTCTCAATCCTCGAGGGTTCAGGGTTTACTTCTACCATACCACGGCGATTAAACACCTGAAAAGCAAAGGAGCAGTGCACTCCAATGAAGCTTAGTGGAAACAAATATAATTAAATCCACCAAGCTAAATAGTCGAGTGAGTTAGTGCCATAAGCACACGCATTCCTTGATCGATAGATCGTCGGTTCGACTCCCACAGACGGCACTTACTGATGCAACTAAGAACGGCAATCCCATACCATCACCCATCCTAAACCGTAGTTCCTCGAAGCCATAGGTCATCAATATAAACCCACTGAGGAGAATCGAACCGGGGACCTTTCGATTACGCACTCTCCTCCCACCCAATTCAACAACGCGACACTGTGAGTTCACAAATAAGATACGATATCGCCAGCGAGTTGCCGAGGCGATAATTTTGATAATCAACGTTAATGATACTTAATAGTGATATGAAGGTAGTGTAACTGCGCACGATTTGGTCGTCATCATTATCATCATCCATACCACTCCTTTGCCAAATACCCGCGAAATGGTACATAAGGTACTATGGCCGCGACCAACAGGACGAGCCCATCTCAATTGAGTTCACCACTCCACTTATCTTCCTAATTAGAAACCTCACCCAAACAGTTCAGCAGGTTCGCTCCCTTCGTCGCCGTCGAACTTCCCTCAACCTTCGTAGGTTCTATCCCCGCAACCTCCACTCGAGGGCTCTCAATATCCATCTCACTCGATTCGTCATCTCCTCTACTCACACCACCCTGCGGCAGTCCCGACCCCCACGGAAACGCCGGGGCCTTAGTCCGCGCTGGATGGGCCGGTTGGGGTATCAGAGGTAGCGGTACAAAAGGAGGAACTACCATTCCCCCAGAAGGTGGTGGAGGCATACACGGCACCCTAGACCCTGTCAACAGGTGGGCTGGGGGGACTCCAGTGAGGCTCTCAGCCATCATCATCATCCCGGGAAACAGTGGAGGCGGTAGTCTGCTGCTACTCTGGTTATAGGGAGGCCCAGAGACACTGATAGGATTGCCCAACCCCTGGGCCCGGGGCACTGCTCCTTGTCCGACAACAACAGCAAGAGGGTGGGCATCCCATCCACCACCACCAGGCGCCCGGGGGGTCCTCCTAGACCTTGGATCTCCATTCACGTCCCCCTCAGCATGCCGACCAACGTGGCGGCTGCCATATGAAGATGAACTGCGGCGGCTACTCTTACTACGGGTGGACTTGTGATGATGCCTTGGCGAATTGTGAGGATCATCCCGACGATGACTTCGCTCTCGCGATCGGCTCCTCCTCGTGCTCTTTCGAGACCCCCGTCTAGACTCCCGCCCCGAGCCAGTCCGAACAGCATCCGTTGCAGCTTCCGGAGGGTTGGTAAACCGCCCCCCCTTGGGTGAAGACTGTCGGGCCCTCCCCCTGCACCCTCCAGAAGATCGTTCCTCACCAACTGGTATCAGATCGATTGCCCCCGATGGTAGTACTCTCTCCACTCTCCTAGCCCGTTCTGCGCCTTCCCCCCTCTTCCGAGGGCGATCCGCATGGTCACACAAGAAATGGTCAATCAAACGCCCGTGATGGGACACAGCGCCCGCCTTCCCGCTCGGTGACACTCTTGGTGACACCCTAGTATCTTTCCGTTTTCGTTTCGACTGCCGCCGCCGCTGGCCTTTGCCAAAATTGGCGTCGGCTGCGTCAGGGATGATGGACTTCAGTTCCTTAGTAACCTGATGGGTCTAACGAATGCCTAATAGCATCTATCGTAAGAACTGAATACGGTCGATGATGCCATGCTCATACAAGTGCCAAAATAAATTCCAAGTTGTTCGTAACAGACCACACCACACTTCCACGTTCATTACGTAATCAAGGCACGCTGCGAAAGTGAGCGTGAACACAAGCACGGGACATTCCAAATCGATGAACAACGATGCCCATAGCCGATGACCATAGACCGTACTGGCACGATTGGTCACACGAAAAGTCGAAATCCTCAAATGACGATGATAGTCTTATCGCGAGCACGCATCATCCGATCTGAACTAAGTCGTTGCATAACTCAGTATATAGCTCTCAGCGAGAGCGGTTCTCCTCCCACACGCACCGCCGAGTCGAAGCGTTTCTTGATAACCCATCCGTTCAACATCTTTCCCATCCTCATCAGCTCACTATCCGTCGCATACACTGACAATGCCTGTGAGTATAAAGATATTCTTCCGGCTGCGCACCAGAGCAGTCTCACCCTGCGAGTTAGTCGGCAAACGTGATCCGAGAAAAAGTCAGCAAAGGAGCATCGGGCCTCCGGACACTTATGCTTCCTCTCGTGGCGAACGATCGAGTCCACCAGACACATAGCTGAGCTGATGGTATCTTTTTCTCTGCGTGCACCCACTTCGAACCTACCTAGGTAGCCCTTATTCTCTACAGACCCGACGGTGAGAACCCGCTTAGCGGTCTTCCAGGAATGGTCCCTCGAGCGCGTCAAATCCACACATACTTGCCCAACCTCGTTAATGAGGTTGGAGGAAGCATGCTGGCCGGAGGACGTGACCTGGTGGAGAATATCTTTGCGCACGCGGAAGGATTTGAGAGGGGCTCTCCAGTGTTCGCCACTTTCCTCAGCTGAGCTCAGGTGTCCTCACTAATAACAGAAGTTTACATACGAATTCGAAGAGAAGTGAACAGAAAGCAGTAAGAGTTTTCATAGAATTTCCAGATTTTCATAGGTAGTTGACCATGTGCATATTCCCCCTCCCCATACACTGGAGCTTTCCCGGTATCACCCTCGAAATGAGTTCATCAACCTTCTTGACCAATAGACTCAGCCGCTCTTCCCCCTCAGACATGGACGGAGGGTGGGGAGGAAAATGAAATGGAATCAACTGATACGCCAAGATACGTACAGAATCTACGCCGTGCGCAACAACCCACAGAGTAGAAAATGCTCTTCACACTAACACTCCCACCGAAGGGGCCGCCGCGGAGTGGGTCCCCTCGGTTTTATTCACTTCATGTTTCTTGTCAGTGTTGGCAGGGGGTAGCCCTGGAGTGCCGTACCTTTCGAGGCGAAATGAGCGGTGAATGGTCTACCACTCCAACAGTACTTCTCGGTGAGTTCCTCCATAGTCTTGGTCTTCTCGGATAGCATATCGCTCAGACTTTTCAAAGCCTCCTCCATCTGTAGGAATAGAACCCACGACCGTCAGCATATCAACCAACGCCGATACCACTCCGCCAAATACGCCATATTACTACCTTTGTTATCCTCCACCACCGGGCGGAAGTCCTTCACTGCCCTTTCCACGAGAACTCCCCCAACCAACCGATAGCAGCGTCGATCCTCCGGCACCTTATAGAAGGCCCCCAGCACCAACCTGAACATCCCCGGTCTTTCCCCTCTTTGTTAATCGTCAGTACCCATGCTCTTTAGACTCCTGTTCGAGCTCAGCTATCTTGCTGACAATAGCACTGCGCTCCCTATCCAACTGCTGTACTTTACTCTGAACCTCCTTCGCCGTTAAGCCCGACTCTACTTCTACTCTTGCCATGGGTAAAGTAATCCACTGGAAAGCCCAAACATTGTGACCATTCCCTCGACAAGTTTCGACTGAAGCGTCTACCTACGCTTCCTCATCCCCACCTACTGTCAGCGTCTACCGTGAGTTTCGACTGAAGTTTCCCTCGACTGAAGCGTGACCAAATCACCGATGTGGATCGTGAGGATGCAGATGGACTAGGGTTAATCAAAATACTACTTTTTTCGTGGAAACATAATTAAACAAATAAACAGAGTCGGGCAGAACAATGGCAGACGTAGAAGATACTACTTGTTCACGAGCAGAGCGTTTCAACGTAACCGACTCACTACAGGCCTCAGGTACGGTCCCCGGTACAGACCATTTGCCGTCAAATTTTCGATGATGGGATATGATAATTTTTCCGGTTAGATGGAAAATGATCAAGGTAGTCCGACAGAGAATAACAAAGTCTCGCCTTGGTAAAGTTATGTGATCGAAACTTCTGATGTCAATCTGTGAGTGAGAAGATACTTCCGGTGGTGATCTCTCAGTGCTCCTGTCACAAAAAAAGGTTTTATCAATGCGAGTTGCTTCTGCTTAGTAACCAGAACGTAGTCAGTTCAAGCTTGACGAGTGAATAGATTGTCAATTTTTGAAACACTTGCTCTCTGTACATATCGAAAGAATCTTGAACACATGGGGGACTAGCTCAAATGGTAGAGCGCTCGCTTAGCAAGCGAGAGGCACCGGGATCGATGCCCGGGTTCTCCACTTTTTCTTCAAATTTCTTCTGTCCCGCCTTGCAATATTACAGTTGAGATGTGTATGTAACGTATGAGCCATACCTCTTCCAGCACCTCCTGCATAGGATGTTCATGTATATGCCCAGGCTTGTTTTAGTCGCGGTCTGTCTGGGTGGATAATACTTCCAACGCTTCATCCATGAGAAACATCGTGACACTCCTGACACAAGGCCTCATTAAGTGGCAATACCATCGCAACCGGCTGAATGATCCCATGTTTTCATTAACACTGGTGGAACACAGTGTGTATGAAATCACGGCAAGCGTTTTTCCCGGCGATTCTCGACGATCTCTCTTCAAACAATATGCTTTTCGATTGACTATGTTCGGTACTAGGAAAGGCAAAGAAGAAATTTAGTCTGTTCCCTCCCACACCTTTCCCAACCGGAAGCCACCTTCAAAAACCTGAGCGTGAACCCTAGCAACGTGATTGTGGACCTGAGAATCCTTCGTAGCCTACGTAACGTAGGCATCCTCTGGGTGAAAATTAGGCCTCGAAGAAAACGATCCGGGTGACATTTGGAAGAACAACGACATTCTGGAATGGCAGGCTGCAATATAGCAAAGAATTGTGTCAACTCAACGAGGGTTATACCCAGAGCGGTGCATCGTTCCGGGCCGCAATACCTCGAAGAAATTGTCAACTTCCGATTTCGCATATATATACAGCATATCGTCATCTAGCGCAACCGTCACACTGTCTGTCCATAAACTTGTGATCTCACAGTGAGATTAAAATATGAAGTAACAAATAGAGTTGTGGCTCTACAGTGCACAACACCGTAACAAGCAAGCTCATGTTGTACAGTCACAGTATTATGAGCTAACATCGTACGAACTTCTTCGATACATCGCAAGAGGGACTTCTTCTGAAGCGCAATGATTGGCAATACCCTCAACACCCGTCTAGCAGCGGCGCTTTCCATACATTACAACTCAGCAACGCCATACAGGT